AAAAGATTGACCCTAACATGAACATCGTGTTTCAGAGTGTAAGATTTTTCAGAAGTGCTGGAGAGTTATTGATATTCTATTGATGAGGCTATGCTATTTGTATGTGGATGAGGTTTAGGGAACATTTTTCGGATTTACATTCAACAAAATTCGCAGAAATCTGGAATGGTTTTCAAAAAATATTCGAAGGTAGCAATTTAAATTTAGGTCCCACCGGAGTAACATATAGCATGTTAAGTCATGTAACTCGAAATTTAGCTGCAATTTCAGTCCTATAGCCATCAAAATTCTCATTTTATATATTTGGGAAGAATTTTGATTCGCAAAATAAGTCGTGTAATTTAAAATTCAATTTTAGTCAAAATGACTGTCAAAATTGAAAATTTTACTGACGTAAATTACTATATGTCGGACTTAAATTGCTACCTTGTTAATATTTTTTTTTTTCGGAACGATAGAATATGATTAATAAACACAAATTTTTACATACTAGTACAATCAAACAATTGAATCAATCAGCTACTAAGCTGAAACTAGCTTAGGACTACCCGACGGAGTACACAGCTTTCAAGCATCCTAGAGCCGCAAACCAAACTAAAATACATAAATAAACTCCAACTAGTGGAGAATGAAAACTCCCACATAGGATAAAACACACTTCAACAAAAGAGATTAAACACATCTACAAATACAACATACAACAAAACAAAACAACACACTTCTAAACTAGCAATAGAATACAACCTTCCCTACATCTTGCGGGCACACAACTACAACCACATTGACCAGCGCACGAGTCAGTTCCTGCAACAACTAAACTCCACAATCAACAACAAAAGAGAACCACAGATCAAAGGCCCAGAACTAAAAACTCCAACTTACTCAAGTGGCCAGTCAGATCTGTGAGGAGACAAGTCTCAGCCCACATCTGAGCTCCCGAAGTCTCAATCGTGAGGTAAATGGACTCCTTGGGAGTTGATCTGACCAGCCTCATCGGAGGAGCCGACACCTTCACCAAATGGGGAGTTCAGAAGAACCCAGATCTGACGAGCGGAAGGCAAGATGGACATAATTTTTTTCCAGAAAATTAAAAAAAAATAAGTTGCGGAAAAAAAAAATACACAAACAAATGAGAGTGAACCAAAATAAAAACCCCTTATTCAGTGAATATGTTTTACTATTTTTTTAATTGTAAAACGTATTCACTGAATACATTTTCTTTTGTAAAAAAAATCTGAAAAAACGTATTTAGGGAATACGTTTTCTATACAAATTGTATAGAAAACGTATTCCTTAAATACGTGCTTTCTATTGTTGTCCACTCCATTTTTTTT